AAAAAAAAAAAAATAGTTAATGCTGAAGAGTAAGATAGGGGCACTTATCTATTGAATATTCCCACAAAGAGCTTTGGGGCAGTATGTAGCATCAGTCCTGCTTACCAAGCCTACTGTTACAAGGGTCTGGTAGTGTCTACACATGGCATCCAGGACCACACAAGCACTACAGTAGAAAGATCCTTATGCGGGGCTGGGAAGGTGGCTCAGTGGTAGAGTGCTTGCCTTGCATGCATGAGGCCCTGGGTTTGATTCCTCAGCACCACATAAGCAGAAAAAGCTGCAAGTGGTGCTGTGGCTCAAGTGGTAGAGCACTAGCCTTGAGCTAAAGAGCTGAGGGACAGTGCCCAGGCCCAGAGTTCAGGCACCATGACTGGCAAAAAAAAAGAAAAAAAAAAAAAAGATCCTTATGTGGACACACACACACACACACACGCACGCACGCACGCACGCACGCACGCACGCAAAGGGAGAAGCTAATGAGCAGAAAGCTTGCTGTGGAAGCCAGGCCCTCATGAGGAAACTCTAGGACTTAGTACACCATGTCCTATACTAAAGCCCTGCTGGTTGGGCAGGATTCTGTCTAGGACTAGATAGAGAGTACAGGATTTTGATATCTGGAATAAAGCTAAGGGCCATTTTACAGCATCCAGGCCCAGAGTTCAGGCCCCACAACCCCCCACCCCCCAAAAAAAGACAGGCACTGGTGGCTCATGCCACCTTGACCTCCAGAGCCCATCTGATATGAAAGGCTGTTCATCAGATTTGACTTCATAGGAACAGAACTTCTAGTGATGGTCCAGGTTAATTAGGACAATGTTTTCCTCTGTAAGGTCGCAGGGTTCTTGGAGTGGCCCAGGGTTGGCTTCAGAGCACTCAATAACCACCTTAAGTTTGTTTTTTGTGAGGGTATTTTGTTTTGTCATCGATCATGAGGTTTGAACTCAGAGCCTAGGTGCTGTCCCTGGGCTCTTTTGATCATGGCTAGCACTCTGTCACTTTGAGTGATAGGTCTACTTCTAGGTTTTAGTGGCTAATTGGATGTAAGAGTCTTACAGACTTTCCTGCCTAGGCTGGCTTTGAATAGCGATCCTCAGACAGATCTCAGGCTCCTGAGCAGCTAGACTTACAGGTGTGAGCCACTAGTGCCCAGCTCCCACTTTATGTTCTTGTTGTAGAGCCAGTAAACAAATAAATAAGAAAGGATAACAGATGAAAACAAAAGCAACAAAAATATACAAGAACAAAATTAAAAGACAGTATATGTAGCTTATGAAAAATTGAGGGAAGGGAGCAGGAAGTGCCAAGAAAGTGACTTCTTGCAGAGTAAGTGTGAAGTCAGATGATGCCTTCTCATAAGATGTATCTCAGTGGTAGAAATAGAGCATGTTCAAGGACATCAGTTTGATCCCTAGCTCTGCAAAAATAACAATAAAATGCCACTTGAGCAGAGAGATGAGAGAAAGGGAGTAAGACTTGCAGATAGGAAAAGAGCATTCCAGGCAGAAAGGACAGAGAGTACAAAGGTACAAGTATGTCTGGCATGTTCAGGGACGAGCCAGGAGGCCAAAGTGGTTGGATTAGGGGAAGGGACAAGATGGTTGATGAAATTCTTGCCTATATTGGAGGAGCAGGAGATCAGACCATAAAGGCTATCTGGCCCTTAGTGTTTCAGCTTTCACACAGATGAAAAGCCACTAGAGGTTTGGCGCAGAACAATGACATGGTCTGACTATGGTTTTGGCATATCCGTCTGACCTGTGTATTTAGAATAAATTGGAGGAAGGTAAGGATAGAAATATGAAGGAGGGGGCTGGGAAGGTGGTAGAGCACTTACCTTGCATGCATGAATCCCTGGGTTTGATTCCTTAGCACCACATAAGCAGAAAAAAAAAAAAAAAAGCCGAAAGTGGTGCTGTGGCTTAAGTGGTAGAGTGCTAGACTTGAGCTGAACAGCTGAGGGATAGCACCCAGGCCCAGAATTCATGCCCCACAACTGGACCCCCCCCAAAAAAAAAGAAATATGAAGGAGGGCTGGGAAGGTGTCTCAGTAGTTCAGTGCTTGGCTTGCATGCATGAGGCCCTGGGTTCAATTCCTCAGCACCACATAAGCAGAAAAAGCGCTCAAGTGGTAGAGCGCTAGCCTTGGGCTGAAGAGGTGAAGGACAGCGTCCAGGCCCAGAGTTCAGGCCCAACTGACCAAAAAATAATAATAATAATAAAGAAATATGAGGTATCAGATGGGAAGCTATCAGGATGGTTTAAGTAAGAGATGGTAGCAGTTTAGACTCAATGGGAATATGAAAGTGTGACCTCTTTTAGATATATGCTGGAAGCTAAGATAAATCTGGCCTAAGGCTGGGAAGGTAGCTCAGTGGTAGAGCGCTTGCCTTGCATGCATTAGGCGTGGGTTCCATTCCTCAGCACCACATAAGAAAAAAAGGCCAGAAGTGGTGCTGTGGCTCAAGTGATAGAGCGCTAACCTTGAGGTGAAGAGCTGAGGGACAGCGCCCAGGCCCAGAGTTCAGGCACAACGACCGGACCAAAAGAAAAAATCTTCTGGCCTTGTATCTGAAATAGAATCCCCTCTGATAAGAAGGACAGGAGGAGCAGGCTTATGAGAGTTGATCACAAATTTATTAACTTCCAAGGGAAGATAACAAATTGGCTTTAAGTCTGGAGTTAGAGAGGTTTTCAAGGCAAAAGATGAGAATTTGAATGGATACAGCATGTGTCTGCTGACCTAGGCAGGTTTGATGGTCCTGTGATATGGGAAGAAGAGGAAAGAGTTACCAAAAAAAATGTGTGGGGCGGGGGGAAGGCTGGGAAGGTGGCTCAGTGGTAGAGTGCTTGCCTTGCATGCATAAGGCTGTGAGTTCAATTGCTAGCACCACATAAGCAGAAAATGCTGGAATTAGCACTGTGGCTCAAGGAGTAGAGTACTAGCCTTGAAATAAAGAGCTGAGAGACAGCGTCCAGGCCCGGAGTTCAGGCCCCACAACAACAACAAAAAAGCACTGGTGGCCCAGAGTTCAGGCCCCACAACAACAACAACAACAAAAAAGCACTGGTGGCTCACGCCTATAATCTTAACTGTTCAGGAGGCTGAGATCTGAGGATCATGGTTCAAAGCTATCCCAGGCAGGAAGGTCCATGAGACTCATATCCAATTAACCACCGGAAAACTGGAAGTAGGCTGTGGCTCAAGTGGTAGAGTCTTAAGCTGAAGAAGAGTTCAGGGACAGTGCCCAGGCCCAGAGTTCAAGCCCCACGATTGACAAAAAAAAAAAAAAGTAGACACTGCCATGAGCTCCCAACTTAATGATTAGATAACATGCCCAAGGATACTTGAGTTCTGGGCTTATAGCATACTTCCTTTTTTCTGCAGAGCTGTGTGCCTTTCCTACCCATTCTCTTGCACAGTTATAAGGACTAACAGAATTAGGAATATAGGAACACTTTGTAGATTCCAGGGGCTCTAAATTGTGCTGGTAAGCTAATCATTCCTTTTTATCCCGTCAGCTATACAGATGTTATTGATGTTGTCCAGGCTGTGCAGACACATCCAGACCCAAATGTCAAGTCTCTCTTCACCATTGGTGCCATCACGGTGTGTGTGGAGCCCCTGAGCTGCTACATGGAACACAGGTAGTTATTTTTCACCACCTCCAGCTCACATAATGTGGTATGTTTAAATGTGCTAGAAGTGACTGTTTCCCCAATCACTACAATAAGAACATCACTGTACATGCAGTAGTTTATTAGTCTACATTGTATGTAGTAAGTGCTACATTATTATTGTGTGTGTATATGTATGTGTGTGCTTGGGCAAATGCAAGTGTACTAGTCCTGAGACTGGTACTCAGGGCTTGGAAACTGTCTCTGAGCTTTTTTTGCTCAAGGCTAGTATTCTGTCACTTGAGCCACATCTTTCCACTTCCAGCTTTTGGGTAGTTAATTGGAGATAAGAGTCTCACAGACTTTCCTGACTGGTCTGACTTCAAACCATGATCCTCAGAACCCAGCCTCTTGGGGCTGGAAAGGTGGCTCAGTGGTAGAGTGCTTGCCTTTGCATGCATGAGGTCCTGGGTTGAATTACTCAGCACCACATAAGCAGAAAAAGCCAGAAGTGGTGTTACGGCTCAAGTGGTAGAGCGCTAGCCTTGAGCTGAGGAGCAGAGGGACAGTATCCAGGCCTACAGCTCAGGCCCCATGGCCAACAACAACAACAAAAAAAAAAAACTCAGCCTCTTAAGTAGCTAGGATTACGGGTATGAGCCACCAGTGCCTGGCTTAAGTACCAGATCTTTAAATGACCAAGAGCCAAAGAGAAATGAGAGGAATTGTAGAATACATACAGATGTGTGATGACAGGAATTATGTCCTTTTTTTTTTTTTTTTTGTCCATCATGGGGCTTGAACTCTGGGCCTGGGTGCTGTCCCTCAGCTCTTCAGCTCAAGGCAAGCACTCTACCGCTTGAGCCACAGCGCCACTTCCAGTTTTCTAGTGGCTTTATTGTAGGACTCTTATCTCCAATTAATCACAGGAAAAAGCTGGAATTGGCTCTGTGGCTCAAATGGTAGAGTGCTAGCCTTGAGCAAAATGAATCCAGGGACAGTGCCTAGGTCCAGAGTTCGAGCCCCAGGACCGAAATAAAAAAGAAAAAGAAAAGAAACCTCATCCAGGGGTTCTGTGGAGTCAACCAGACCTGGCTCCCTTCATGACAGCCCTCGTTGCAAGGTGCTTAGCTAAACTGTTCATCTCTTAAATATCCAAGGCACAGGGAGGACAGGATGACAGAAAGATCTTATCTTTGAATTGCTTGTCTGTTGCTTTGATAAAAGTTAATTATGCTGGGGCTGGGAAGGTGGCTCAGTGGTAGAGCTCTTGCCTTGCATGCATGAGGCCCTGGGTTTGATTCCTCAGCACCACATAAGAAAAAAAAAGCTGGAAGTGGCACTGTGGCTCAAGTGGTAGAGCGCTAGCCTTGAGCTGAAGAGCTGAGGGACAGCGCCCAGGCCCAGAGTTCAGGCCCCACTACTGGACCACCCCCCCCAAAAAAAAAAAAGTTAATTACTGCTGTGTGCTGGTAGCTCACATCTGTAATCCTAGCTACTCAAGAGGCTGAAAGCTAAGGCTTATTAGTTCAAAGCCATTCTGGGCAGGAAAGTCCATGAGACTCTAATCACCAATTAAAAACAAAAAAAAAAAAAAGGCTGGAAGTGGAGCACCCTGAGCAAAGAGCTCAGAGATAGCACCCATACCCTGAGTTCACGCCCCAGACACACATACACACAAACACAGAGGGGGGGGGTAACTATTCTTCTCTGGGAAGGACTTTATGATGTTTTGGGAGTTTCAAAGCTCTGTGAGTTTTTCTATCTCAAAGCAGTGCTATATAGCAATTTGCTGCCATTTGTATTGAGCAGAAGAAATCACCATTGTGTATATACTCAAGTCTTTTTATTTTTCTTCTTTTCAAAGATGCTCTTGGACATTATTGGGCTTGCAGAGTTCCTTTATTCTGGGGTTACAATGCTTTTTATCGTTTCAGGCTTCATTTTAGCTTCAGCAAAAGTTGTTAAATCATGATTTTGCAGAAACCTTTGTTTTGGACAGTTTCCTTTTTTTTTGGATTTGGGATAGATTACATAGGAGTATGAAGTCTGCTGTAAATAAAAATAATACAAGCTAGTGCTTTGTCTTAGCAGTTTTAAGAAATTAAAGCAAACAAATTTAAGTTTTCTTGTATTGAAAATAACTTATGATTGTATGTTTTGTATTCCTAGAAGTAGGTTAACTGTGTTTTTTAAATTGTTATACACCTTTTTGAAATCTCCCCTACAAAATTTGTTTGGCTTAAACGTCAAAGCCGTGACAATTTGTTCTTTGATGTGATTGTATTTCCAATTTCTTGTTATGTAAGATTTCAATAAAACTCAAAAATCTATTCAAAACAAAACAAAAAAAAGGCAGTGCAATTTGAATCATCATCCTTTACCCTATTTTGTACTTTCATTTACCATTGGATTTGTGAATAAGATTAAGCTAGGGGTGTAACTCAGTGATAACATTTATCTAGCATGTGAGGTCTTGGGTTCAATCCCAAGTATAGCAAAAAATTAAAATTAAAAAATAGTCATCTCTATCTCCTATCACCTGAAGAACTAGTACTGCTCCCAACATCTTCTCCATCACATTTCATCAAGGGTGGGCCATGTGAGGACTTCTGCAGGGTGAGAACTTTGATGCAAAACTGTAGAAGTCTTAGCCAGGCACAGTTGCTCACGCCTGTCATCCTAACTACTCAGAAGGCTGAGATCTGAGGATCGTGGTTCAAAACTAGCCCAGGCAGGATAGACTGTGAGACTCTTATCTCCAATAAACCACTAGAAAACCGGAAGTGGCACTGTGGCTCAAGCAGTAGAGCTTTGGCCTTGAGCTGAAGAGCTAAGGGACAGCGCCCAAGCCCAGAGTTCAAGCCCCATGACTGGAAAGCAAAACAAAACATAAAAACTATGAAAGTTGGGCTGGGAAGGTGGCTCAGTGGTAGAGCACTTGCCTTACATGCATGAGGCCCTGTGTTCGATTCCTTAGCACCACATAAGCGAAAAAAGCCGGAAGTGGCACTGTGGCTCAAGTGGTAGAGCGCGCTAGCCTTGAGCTGAAGAGCTGAGGACAGCGCCCAGGCCCAGAGTTCAGGCCCCACAACTGGACCCAAAAAAAAAAAAAAACTGTGAAAATCTTGAATAACTATGTCTGTCTAGTGCGCAGTACTACCTGCCTCTTGCCTCAGCAAATATGTCAACCTTGCATATCAGCAATATTTCAATTTTGAGGGAAATAATCAAGACAACGCTAATTATTTTTTAATATTTCTTTTTTCCCTAGATTTCTCTTCCCTAAATTTCTTGATCAGTGCTCACAAGGTAAGCAATATGCTTTACTTCCTGCTTACATGCCTTTCACATTCTGTTCAGCTACAAGAGATTTCTGTCTGTGCTACCACTCTGAAATCTAAAGCAGGGAACTTTGACAACCTTCTTTTATCATACTTGATAAACATATTTCTTCCAAGAGCTTATATTGTAATTATCTTTTATTATTATTACATAGTTGTACAAAGAGGTTACAATTCGATATGTCAAGTTATGAGTACAATAAATCTTGATCAGTGCCACCCCTTCCATTATTCCCTCCCACTGTACCCGCCTCCCATCCCTCCCCTCAAGTTTCTGTTAATGGCAGTAAAAAAAATCACAGCAGCATCACTCGTGGGCTCACGTCTGCTCTGGCAGTGTAGCTAAAGACTGGGCTGAGTAGTCTCTGGATAAACAAAATCTTAATAAATTTCTCTATCCCCAGGGCACAGTTTTTGGCAGAACCTATCTTCCTTAATATCACCCTTTCTTTCACACACTGTAATTTTCCATACCTATTTGAATGTATTTAGAAAAATCTACTCATCCTGCAGGTTATATTCAGCTTTGCATTGTCCTGCTGCTATCAACTATAGAAGCTGTACTTCCTAGTCATATTATCTGTGACACCTAGAGAGTGTAAATAAATTATAACTTCTCCACAGTAGTGATAAAATGCCCATTGTTGTCATGAGGTATGCTTGGGGATGGACTGCCTGAGCCAGCCTAGCAAGCAGAAATCTAATGGAAGAAAACAACTCAATGTCCCCAGCGCATCTGTGCCTTGCTGATCCCATTGCCAGTCTGCAGGGAGCAGAGACAACAGCATACCAGAGCTGTTGTCTTGGGAAACAGCTGATCTGGGTGCTGCCCAAGGCAGGAGACTGGTCCCTGAGGGGGGAAGGGGATGTGTTTGTTGGACTGCTATACCAGGTAGTTATTTTTTGAGGCCCTCAGTATCAGGGTAGAATAGAAGCTGTCCTCTCAGTGTATAACCCAGAGGGAAGTTAGGTATGAGTTGGAAAAGAGATATCCAGGTTGACTCTGCTTTGTTTTTTTTTAACCTTTGTGCAAACAAGTGTGTATGTGTGTGTGTGTCCCGGTGTCCTGGGGATTGAACTCAGTTGGAGTTTGGGTGCTTTCACTGAGCTTTTCTAGCTCAAAGCTAGCACTCTACTAGTTGAACCACAGTTCCATTTCTGGTTTTTGGTGTTTAATTGGAGATAAGACTCTCACAGACTTCCCTGCCCCAGCTGGCTTCAAACCCCTCTTGTCAGATCTCAGCCTCCTAAGTAGCTAGGATTACAGGTTGAGCTACTGATGCAAAAATCCCTAGGTTTTTATTTTAGGGGACTAAAAAGGGTAGTGGTACCTGTCCTTGAGATAGAAAACACCAAAATACATGTATAAATAATCAAGGAGGGTTATCTGACCCTAAGTTACATATTTGGATGTTTTAGTCAAAGCCAAGGGCATGGAGGGGCTGGGAAGGTGGCTCAGTAGTAGAGCGCTTGCCTTGCATGCCTGAGGCCCTGGGTTCAATTCCTCAGCACCACATAAGCAAAAAGAAAAAAAGCCAGAAGTGGCACTGTGGCTC